GCCGGGGCGGGGGGGGGTCGCTGGCTGGGATCACCCTCCGCCGCCTTCATTCATCCGGCAGGAATGTTTTGCTGGGGGAACACAATTGGGCCGGGCCGGCTGCCAAGCGGCCGCATAATAAGTGACCGGCCAGGATCGGGACTGGGGTTCCAGGCTCTGTAGTCTGGGATCCCAAACTGGGCCCAACGCAACACGGAGACCGGTGTCGCCGCAGCCCTGGGGGAGCTGAGGCGATGGGCTCCTCCTCCTCCTCCTCTCTCCGTCTTTGGTGCAGGACGTGGACAACAAGGTGGAGCGGGTCTGGGGCGACTGCAGCTGCAGGAAGAAGTATTCCCACGTGGACCTGGTGGTGATGGTGGACGGTTACGAGGGAGAGAAGGGGGCCGTCGTCGCGGGCAGCCGGGGCTACTTCCTTAAGGTGAGAGCCCAGACCCCCCCGCGAGGGCACAGAAACGATCGGAGCCAGGGGGAGAGCTGAGGGAAACGAGGGGGGACGGGGGTCCTGGCTTCTCCTCCCCTGGGCTGAGCTTGCTGCAGCAACGGGAGCCTCCGAGGCGGCGTGAGCTCGCGCTGAGCCGGCCTATGGCATGGGACGGACTCTGGCCTCGGTGGTGCTGCCGCCGTGGCCTGGACACCCTCCAGATCCACTCCGGCGTCCCTGCCGCAGCCGGAGGGTGATGCTGAAGCCTGGCAGTCGGAGCAGCCTGGAGCTTGGCGTGGGCTCCGTGCGCTCCCGGACCCACGGAGCAAGAAGGGATGGTTCAGTGGGGTGCGTGCGTGACGGGCGGTGGCTTCCCTCGTCCCCCAGGGTCCCCTGGTGTTCCTGGAGCAGGCCCTGATCCAGTACGCCCTGCAGAGCCTCCGCGCCAAGGGCTACACTCCCGTCTACACCCCCTTCTTCATGCGGAAGGAGGTGATGCAGGAGGTGGCCCAGCTCAGCCAGTTCGACGAGGAGCTCTACAAGGTGAGCGGCTCGACGCCCGCCGGGTCTCCGTGTCTCGCCGCCCGGCACCTGTCGTCCCCTCCGGGCGCCGGCTTTCCGACCGAGCCGCCGCCACGCGGCTTCCCCCCGGGGGGAGGGAGCTGGCTGAGATCCCCTCTGCCCCGGCGAGGCCGCGCCGGCGGCTCCCTTCTGCTCCTTATCTCCGGGGTCCATCTTCATGGCCTCGGTCCCCGCTGAGGCGGTTGCCATGGCAATGCGGTGACGGGGAGGTGGCTCGTCCCCAGCTTCGCTGGCGGGAGGCCATCGGGGCCTTTGAAGGAGGCCAAACAAGCAGCGAACGGCAGCTGCTCCCTTTCCCCGAGCCGTCCTCTCCCCCGCGCCGAGCGCCGGCCCCGGGAAGCCTCGCTGCCTGTCCGCGGGCGGGCAGGGAGAGCGGCTGCCTGCGCATCTGCCAGGGAGCGTCCGGCCCCGGAGGGGCGGGAGCAGCTGGGGAAGGGGGGACGGTGTCGTCGTCGTCATCGTCGTCGTCGTCCCCCCCCCAGGTGATCGGCAAAGGCAGCGAGAAGGCCGACGACAGCTCCGTCGACGAGAAGTACCTGATCGCCACCTCGGAGCAGCCCATCGCCGCCCTGCACCGGGACGAGTGGCTGAAGCCGGAGGATCTGCCCATCAAGTACGCGGGGCTGTCGACCTGCTTCCGTCAGGAGGTGGGCTCGCACGGCCGCGACACCCGCGGCATCTTCCGCGTCCACCAGGGGGGGGGGGGGGGGGGGGGGGGGGCGTTCCCCCTGGGAATTTGGGGCTGCATCCGGGGCCGGCGCCAACACGGGGTCCCGTTCTCTCTGCAGATCGAGCAGTTCGTCTACGCCTCGCCCCACGACGACAAGTCGTGGGAGATGTTTGAGGAGATGATGGCCACGGCGGAGGACTTCTACCAGTCCCTGGGCATCCCCTACCACATCGTCAACATCGTCTCGGGTAGGGCCCAGGGGGCTCCCCCGCCGCGGGGCCCCGGGGCCGCCTCTCTGCGCCGCGGTGGCCCAGGAGGACGCCGGCCACCTCTGCCCGTGCCTCGGGTGTCACCGCGGCCCTGACCCACTTCCCGCCTCGGCTTTCTTTGTCCCCGGCTCCCCTTCCCGCTGTGTCTGTCCCCAGACCTGGCGAAGGGGAGGAGGCGCCTCAGCCCCGGGGCGTGGAGGAAGGAGACGTTTGCTTTTCTGCAGAGATCCTCTGCTTTGCTCCGGGTCCACCGGGAGCGGGTGCGGGCACCCTGCCGTGCCGGGACTGTCCCCGCTGTCCCTTCCGGAGGGACGGTTTGAGTGTCCCCACACCTCCCGGGAACTCTCCCAGGAAAATTTACCCCGTTTAAACGCTCCTTCCCAGCCTCCCCGCTGCGGAGCAGGAACCCCGCGTCCCTGTGACAAAGCCGGCACAGCGCCGCTGAAGTCGCCTCGGGAGGCGTCGCGCCCGTAGCCCCTGCTGCCGTCCCCTGGGACGGGCGCCTTCCTGGGGGGAGCGGGATCCCCCTCCCCTCGCTCAGCGCTGCGCCCCCGTCTCCCAGGCTCCCTCAACCACGCTGCCAGTAAGAAGCTGGACTTGGAGGCCTGGTTCCCCGGTTCCGGCGCTTTCCGCGAGCGTCGCGCCCGTAGCCCCTGCTGCCGTCCCCCGGGACGGGCGCCTTCCTGGGGGGAGTGGGATCCCCCTCCCCTCGCTCAGCGCTGCGCCCCCGTCTCCCAGGCTCCCTCCACACCGCTGCCAGTAAGAAGCTGGACTTGGAGGCCTGGTTCCCCGGTTCCGGCGCTTTCCGCGAGCTGGTGTCCTGCTCCAACTGCACCGACTACCAGGCGCGCCGCCTGCGCATCCGCTACGGGCAGACCAAGAAGATGATGGACAAGGTGAGGCCGAGCCGCTGGGCTGGAGGGGGACGGGGGGTGTGTATGTGTGGGGTGTGTGTGTGTGTCCCCTCCTCGCCTTTGCCGTGTCACCCCCCCCCTCGCCATGCTCCCCGCCGCAGGTGGAGTTCGTCCACATGCTCAACGCCACCATGTGCGCCACCACCCGCACCATCTGCGCCATCCTGGAGAACTACCAGACGGAGGAGGGCGTCCGCGTCCCGGAGAAGCTCCGAAACTTCATGCCCCCAGGTAACACCCAGCACCCTCCCTTCCCCGCCCAGACCGGGTGCCGGGAGGGGGGGGGGGGGGGGGGGTCGTCCCCCCCCC